AGTACCAGGGTGTACGTACTTTAAGCCAATAGTATTCAGTTGTTCAATAAAAAATAGACACAATTGATTTAGAGGATGATATTACTATAGTGATTAGCCTTAGAACTATATTATGTAGGTTGGATTTTGAGCTATATACGAATATATATGATTTTTCAAAGTTGTATAGAATCGCATAGATTCCTAAGCATCTATATAATAAATGACAATAAAGATATCCTAGCTTATAGAGACAAATACCCTCATATAAAAGTAAACAAGTCTTATTCTACTATTATAAGCGAAAATCCAAATTTTTCTACCTACCTTTGGTATACACTTTCGTTATCTATCATATATAATCTTACTTTGTTGTTTAAACAAACTATACCTTTTCAACCTATCTGTAAAATACGTTATATATGAATAAACTATCTTAGGTTGACAACTTTCGTATCTTCTATACCTTTGATTATTAAAGAATCGTTTAAAATAGCCAATAAAGACTATCTATAGAATATACGAAAGATAAAGAAGACTATATGGTCGCTTATAATATAAGTTGGATTTTATTTATACTCAATAGATTTCTATTGGTTAGATTAAGGATTTCTATATAAGAAATACTATTTTATATAAATATATAAAAAATTCAAAGCTTATATAATTATATTCGACTATATATATAATAGCTTTAAATAGTTCTACTTTATATTATTTCGATCATTTAATATTAAAAAGAAGGTTTTAAAAGAATAATAGACTTTAATAGCAAAAGTGACTATTGAAGGTAATCTAAGTATCATATACTTTGGTATAAAAATAACTAAGCTTAAATTGCTTCGAAAGGTACTTAATTTAGCTTATAAGGATCGTAAACAGCCTCCTTATTTTCTGCAATTTATTATAAAGAAGGAAATTCCAATCCTATAATATAGAAGACCTAAGGCTAAAGGCTTAGAGAAACTAAACGATAATATATAAGATTCTATATTAAAGATCGATGATAATAGCTTACAAAAAAGTATAAACAAAGCTAAACATAAAAAGTAAAGTAGGTTAATAGCAAATATAGTATCTATAAGTGTCGATAAAACAAAAGTTAAGACTAAGAAAGTAGAATTAAAGTCAAACCTTTATATAAAGAAGAAAGCTATCTAAAGAGATGATAGTAAAGAGAAAATTATAGCTAAAAAAATTAAAGCTAAAATTAGAATTATCCTAATATTTAAAAAAGACAAACCAATAGTATAGCAAAGTACTATTAAAAAGGAATCGATTATATTTAAGATAAGTATATGCCAGACTAATTATAGTCTTAAAAGGAAGCAAAGTCATCAGAATATATTAGGGTTTAAAGATAATCAAATAAAAGAGAATTTTAATGTATTAAATATAACTAATATAAATTAAATATAATCAGATAAGAACAACCAAGTTATTAGCTATTTCTTTAAATATAGTTTAAGATAGTCTCTTCTTTAGTCTCTAATTTAATATCAAGGCTAGTTAACTTTATTTCATTCTATTTAAAGAATTACCAAATATATTATTTACCTTCTAACGTTAATAGAAGAAGTATAAGCTTTAGCTAAGCTTTTTAGTTAATATACTATCATAATTTATACCATAGAATATTATACTAAAGAAAGTATAAGTTATCCTATTAATCTTTAAAGATCTATAATAAAATTCTACCAAAAGTCTTAGAGATATAGTCGTAGATTTACTTTATACTAAATAGAAGATACTAATCAAAGTTAATATTATCTTAGTTAACAATATTCTTAAAAGATCTCTATCACTTAAGATTTAATAAGACTCTATAATCTCTTACTTTAATAAGATTAAGCATATGATAAAGTATATAAGGAATCTTAAGAACAATATACTCTTTATAAGTTTGTTTATAGATAGGATAAGTATTCTAAAGCTATATAAACCTAGCAAAGTTTAAACAAAGCTATAGTATATAGATATATAGTAAAACAACTTGATTAGCTAAGTTACTAGTAAAAAAAAGATTATTTTCTGATAATTAAAGAAAGTATTTCTTTTTACTTATTAATATACTATCTTATAGCTTTATAAAAGACAGTACTTACATACTAAAAGAATATATACCCTTCATATAACCGGCCCTACCAGCTTTCAATCTTGATATTTTATATACTCTTTCCATATATTTAGCAATCTTTGAAAGAGACTATAGATAAAGATAAAGAGTCTAAGTCATTATCTAAAGACTTAATTAAAGAAGATCTAGTTAAATACTCTTTTATAGACGATTATATATTATCAAAAGAAGATAGTTAAGACTATTAAAATCAAATTAGCCTTAGTTTAGTAGATATAAGCTAGTAATAAGCTTCTATTATAAGTGGTATTTCTTTTCCTTAATCTACTCGAATTCAAGTAGATATAAAGTCGTACCAACCAATAACATTAATATATTAAGCCAAAACAGATTATATAGTCAAAGCAGATACTTTTATATAAAACTATATAATATATTAAAAATATATATCAATTCTAGCATAGATCTTGATTCCCTATTATTATAATTTATAATATCTATCAATTAACCAAATATAGTTTGATCTATCATAAGTCTAACCTATATAATGTTGATAAGCCTTCTATCAACATTATTTAATCTTACTTAGATAGAATTCATAGTAAATCGTCTATAAAGAATCTTATAGAATGTTGAATAATTATTGTCGAATATATATATAAAGATAAGTTCTTCCTATATTATATACTAGATTATCTTAAGTTGATTTAGTTTTAAAATAGTATCATACTTTAGTAATCATCAATTAAAGAGTTTTTAAATCATTATATCGACAGAATATACCTACTTATTTTCGGATCTAGAAAATACTATAAAGAGATACTATATACCTTTTATTATAAAGGTATATAAGTAGTTATTGATTTAATAAACTAAATTTATAGAATATCAATATCACCTTATCTTATAATTTAGGAGATAGCTTTATATACTTCTAACGCCTAAGCCCTCATTATTGAATTTAGCATATTAAGGTATATTTTTGAAAGTTTACTAGTATAAGAGTCTAAATATATTTATATACTTTAGTAATTGTTTGACTATCCTCTAATAGGCTTTTTATAGTATCTTAATACTGATTAAGATTGATTGACGGACGGCTAGATATGATCAGTATTGATTTGTCAAAAATAAGCTTATATAAAGTTGTAGATTTAAACTTAAGAAAAGATTTTATAGGTGAAGATTATCAAAAATGGCTTATATAACAAAATAGCAGTATATAAGCATATATATTATAGTATAAGTCAGTATAGAGTTGTTTTAAAGAGTATGAAAATAGTATTTTCCTAGCATAAGAGTATCATCTAAAGTATAATATTATAAAGGCAAGTAAAGAAAGCAAAAAAGTAAGATTCTCCCTAACAAGTGTATTTATTATGGCAGAAGTTTGTATTAGGCCAACCAAAACCAATGAGATTATATACTAGACTGAATGAAGCTAAACAAAGACGTATAAAATTATATAAAGTTGAAATGTTGTTATAACGAAAGGATATTAACTAAATGGTTATATACTAGCTTATAGAGGCTTAGTATTGTTAAGACCTTATATATTCATATAAGG